CTCTTTGTAAATATACATTTGAATAAATTTATCATCAAAATATTTAATTTAAACATCTTAGATCGAGAATAACTGAAAGTGCTGAACGGGTAGTGACCACGGATTTTGTCCTCCAATTCAGGATAGTAAATGATTTTTGTCGAATTCCAGTAAAACTCGGTCGCAAGCACCCGGATCCGGTAGTAGAAACGGCGTCGCTGTCGTCGGTGGAGCCGGTAGACGTGACGTACAAGACGAGCCTTCCCGACGAAACCATCCGCAACGGGCTGCTTTCCGCGCTGCAGCTGGAGGCCGTCGTGTACGCCTCGCAGGCGCACGAGCACATGCTGCCCGACGGCACCAGGGCCGGCTTCCTCATCGGTGGGTCTACGTTCTTTGTATCGAGATTGCAATAGGACATTCAACTAAAATTATCTGCTACATTTTATTGCGAATAAAACCGCAACACAACAACGACGTGGTAGCCCAGTGTAAGAACTCTCACTTGAGAGATCGTCGCTTCGCATCCCTGTACCTGTAACACTATTTTCTAGGAAGTTTAGTAGCAATAACCCTCTCGTTAAGGCGTACCCCTTGACAAACGTGCGAACTAATGCCTAAACTCTGAGGAACCCGTATTCAGCAGTGGAACGTATAAAGACATTATTATTGATGCAAAAAGCGGACACTAGTATTTCCACAAAAAAAATCATGGTTGTTAAATATTATGATATCAAATAAATAAAGGCTTGTTACTGATGAAAGACGAAGCAAATGGAAGACTGTTGTCTCTGCCTACCCCGATGGGGAAAAGGCGTGAAGTGTATGTATGTATGTATGTATGTAATGATGAAAACTCCATCATCGGGAAATTTCCTATTGCTTTTTAATGTGAATGAACTACAGGCGCTTCCAAGTTCCAGTCAATGATCTTTTGAAATTTTTCTTGGACAGGCGACGGTGCCGGTGTAGGCAAAGGTCGTACCATAGCGGGAATAATATTCGAAAACTACATAAAGGGTCGCAAGCGTGCCATCTGGATCTCGGTCTCAAACGATCTCAAATACGACGCCGAACGCGACCTGCGCGACATCGGCGCCGGCAAGATAGAGGTTCATCCGCTCAACAAGGTAAATATACGCACGTTTCTCGGTTAGAATAAAATAAAATAGAATCATTTATTCCGTATAAAAGCACAGTTCACACGCTATATAACGGCAGAAATAGATACATCCAGGGAAGTACTGCCGCCATACCTAATTCTGCCATCAAACATAATGTGAGTATTACTGCGGTTCCGGTTTGGGGGTGCGGGTGAAATTACAGCCACATGGGACTTATCAACTTATGTCTGACGGTCCCACTGGCAGTGCCCCTAAGATCTTTGCGATTTAAAGCTCTGAGTGGCACTGCAACTGCTATGGACAGGAGTGTCGTTCACCAGGCGCACGACTTGTTCGTTCCGTCAGTTGGTATTATAAAAAAAGTTACTTTAGCAGGGTAGTATATTTTGCAAAAAAGTTTTCTAATTATTAATAAAAACCTTAACTTATTTCCTTTTTTTAATTGTTAGTACAAAGATCGAACACTCAGAAAAAAATTCTTCGATCCGACCGTATTCGAACCGACGTCTTCTAGCGTACCGTATCAGATGCTATACCAACTAAGCGACGGAACGAACCAGCGGATCTCCCGAATTTTTTTATGTCTTTGTTGTCGTGTCCTCACTATTGTATATACGGCCATCATAGCGCGCTGGTACTGTAATTGACCTTATCAATAAAAAACTATGATGGAAAATTTGTCCTAAATATTATAAGAAATTACAAAAAGAATATCGAACACTGGCGCTTGTCAGTCGCTGGCGCCACCCACCTTTAGGTAAATATCTGCCTATTCCAATCTCTGGTGTTAACATATGAACAATTTTGGTTACATTATTCTTGAATAGCAAGTTTTTTTGTGTTACGCAGTTCAAATACGCGAAGCTGTCGTCCGCGGTGAACGGCAACGTGAAGAAGGGCGTGGTGTTCGCGACGTACTCGGCGCTGATTGGCGAGACACAGTCCACCGCTACCAAGTACCGCACGCGCCTCAAGCAGCTTCTGCAGTGGTGCGGGGAGGACTTCGATGGATGCGTATCCTTGACAATACCTCTTCGTCCTTTTTATTTTCCCGGTTTTATCATCAATACCTTCACTTTGAGAAATGCCTTTGATGACTAGACTCGCTTTGTAGCGTTCTATGGTCCCATCAGGATTTTCTTTATTTTATAGTTCCATTTGTGTGGTTCCCTTGACTTTAGAATCAGATTGTATTCGACGAGTGTCACAAGGCCAAAAACTTGTGCCCAGTTGGTTCGGGCAAAGCGACAAAGACTGGTCTGACAGCTCTGGAACTCCAGAACAAGTTGCCCAAAGCCCGTGTGGTGTACGCCTCGGCCACTGGCGCTTCGGAACCGAGGAATATGGCGTATATGGTCCGGCTTGGCATCTGGGGAGAGGGGACTCCATTCCCCACTTTCATGGACTTTATTAACGCTGTCGAGAAGAGGTAAGTTTGATGTTGTCCAACAAAAATGTTACTGCATTGTTACTGCAGTGTAAATTTTTTTTGCTGCTTCTAAGGCTGCCAAAACAAGGATTGTCCGTTTTGCAAGTAGCAGTTGACATTCTTAAGAAACATTTGATTTTTTTGTGTGTCTGAAACAACTTGATATTTTTAGTCGCCAAAGGGCAACGATTACTTTAATCAACTTATAATGATTGATGGAGAAACACCATTCTCGACAGATTTATATATCATTTACACAATTCTTAATATAAATATGTATATGTATGTTTCGTAAATGCACCTTTGTTTACATTTTTGATCGCAAATTCCATCGCAGGTATAGTCGGGAATTTCGATATGGAATTGTTAAGTGCCTGTCCCTAATTTGCAAGCAAATATTTAGCTCGTACTTTAGTAGACGAAAGTTACTTTTTACTTCTAAATTTGTTATTTGTCTTTTATTTAAAACAAATAAAGTGTCAGGATCAAGATAAGTACCATTTAAATAACCACACCAAATTTGGTAGTAAGCAAGTTTGATTTGCCCGAGAAAAATATGTCAAAAAATAACCACCACAGTCTCACTGTAATCCAGTTTTTGTATTACCTATGACAATAAGCAATATTCTTGGACTTTCAAGCTACACTTCAAGATATGTGTTACAGGATGTACTATTTTCAAAGTTCCACGTTCTATGTTATAGCCTAAAAGCTTACACAAAAACACCATATTTAAGCGATTTTGGGCACCTCATCGCCTTAAGCGTAATTTATAAATAACATGTATTTGTGTCATCGTAAATGAAATTTGTCATAAATTCTGACGATGTTTTCCTTTCCGGTAATTTGTTAACTAAAGAAAAAGGTTTATGATCACTGCTTGTTTACGTTTTTTCTAATCCTACAAAAATTAAGTATAGTTGCAGTCAAAGGTGACAAAGACTATAGTTAAAAGGGCAAAATAGACGAACACCTTAGGTCAGCATCCAGTGGAATATTATATTTAGTTGGTATTGCTATGCCGTTGATTTGATTAGTGAGTGTTGCGTGGTGCAGAGGCGTCGGCGCGATGGAGATCGTGGCGATGGACATGAAGCTACGAGGCATGTACATCGCGCGGCAGCTCTCCTTCCACGGCGTCACCTTCAAGATCGAGGAGGTCCCGCTCTCAGACTCCTTCAAGGAGACTTACGACAAATCTGTCGCTTTGGTATGCGCATTCTTTTTCTACCTATTTAATAATTTTGTATGCTATGATTACTAATGCATCGAGTGCCACACGAGCAATAATGCGGTGTCGCAAAGTAACGCCGCTTACTTACGTATTGAAGCACCCCTGTCCGCTTCGTCTCCTGGCCCTTGTTTGATGCGCACGCGTTCAGTGGCCGCGCGCCGTTTCAACGCACCATGTGAATTTATAGTCTTCTCTTTTGTGAAGACCGAGTAAAATGACATTTCTAGGGTTGCCAGTTTTCATAAAATTTTAAATAGTTATGTAGTTGTTGTCGATAGTTTTATCGATAAATTGTAGAGAAGATACAATTTTGCCAAAAATTACTAAATTATGAATGTTACGACATTCTAATGGTTACTAATTGCGTTACTGCCTTCTTCATTCTTATTTTGACAGATGGCCTACTAGTATAGAAATCAATTTTTATTCTTATACACATTAATAAGAATAGCCGGATTTGATTATCTACATTGAATTAAAATTAAAAACTTTAAAATATGTTTCATTTTTGTATTTTTCATAAACATAGTTCTAAAGACAGTGTATGTATGTATTGATTTACAAAAATTGCCATTTCAAATGAACTTGTGCTCAGTAATTGGATGAATAATTGGTCGAGAATGATTCAAATGAAACAACTTTAGCTATTTATCCTATAAGCATAACCAATATTCAGTCGAGAGAATGTTTATCGACTACAATCACTAGCTGCTCGAACGCGGGCAACACTTGCCCTGTGAAATGTCATTTTACTCCCGTCTTCAAATATCTAATTTATATATATAGTACAACGCAATAGGATACTAATTACCTGAAATGAAAATAAAGTTTTACTTTGCTGACTGTAGTCACGTCAACATTTTGTTGTACAACTTTAACCAGACATATTAATGTTGGCTTAACACGTATTCTAATTATTTGATTGTGAATGAAATGTTTGCGCAGTGGGTGGAGGCCATGCAGCGGTTCACGGAGGCAGCGGAGCTGATCGACGCGGAGTCGCGCATGAAGAAGACCATGTGGGGGCAGTTCTGGTCTGCGCACCAGCGTTTCTTCAAGTACCTCTGCATTGCTGCCAAGGTACTATGGTGTTTCTTTTTTATTTTTTTAATATAATATTTTTTTTCAAATCGATAAAAATAAATTTAATTATTATCATTCTTACTTTTGCTATAATAAGATTTCTGTTGATATTCAAAATTCGCCATCTACGAGATTTATAAATGTATACAGCTCCAAAGTTCGTTCAGGGAAGTACTGCTACCTTACCTATTTCTGCCGCCAAGCAGTAATGTGAACATTACTGCGTTCCGGTTTCCAAGTAAAGATGCTGGTGAAATTACAGGCACATGGGACCTGTCACTTTGTCACAGTGGCAATGCCCCTCAGATCTTTGTGATTTAACGCTCTGAGCGACACTGCAATTGTTAGGGACAGGCGTGTCGCTCACCACCAGACACACCACTTGTTCGTCTATAAAAAAAAATACAGCGCTGCATACCTAGATGACTATCTTAGTGACCCATTTAGTTATCTCAGGTTGTTTCTATCTGTGATATCGAAGGTAGTCACAATGAGCAATTGAAAAATGACTGCCTTGCGAGCAGCGGTAGAGTGCGAACGGTGCCCGAGAGCCGTGCGTTGCAGGTGAACCACGCGGTGGTGGTGGCGCGCGAGGCGGTGAAGTGCGGCAAGTGCGTGGTGATGGGGCTGCAGTCCACGGGCGAGGCGCGCACGCTCGACCAGCTGGAGCGCGACGACGGCGAGCTCACCGACTTCGTCTCCACCGCCAAGTGAGTGCCCTCAGTACACCTAGCAACTACACAAAATGGCACAATACAAATCGTCGTCTTACTTTCTCCAACTCGTGTCTTAAAACACAAAGTTACGGAAGTGCAAAAAATTGATTATATCATTGACTTACAAATAAATGGACGACGGGTCTAATACAAAAACCACGAAAAAAATGTCCCAAGTCAACCTTTTTAAACGTAGTGACATGTAAAGGAATATGAAAAAGCTAAAACATTGAATTTAAATTGTAATGTCATCGCAGTACTGTCTAATTTTGCTTGCTTACCTGTCAGTCGAACAAACGAAGACTAGAGCGTGAATGACGCTCTGTATACGATTTTAACGCCCTATAAGTTCGGACACTTTTTAGCGCGGACCCGACGTCTATATAATTGTAAGTCAATGGATTATATATACAAATTTTGCAGGTTTTCACGTCGCATTTATTTTGCTTTTACCTATTCTTAAAGTAATGCATCCAGATTAACGCCCTTGATAAGGAATTTAAAATAAATAGAAAGTTTTGCCGTCTTCTGAATAATCACTCTTTATAACATACGAGTTTGAGACAGTAAGGCATCGAAATGCAATAATGCGATAAATAATTAATGACTTAAGAATAAAGAGGAACGTAGTAAATTAGGCGGAATACAGCTCATTATTGTATTTTCGTTTGTCACAATAGAACTCAATTTCGCAGAGATAGTAAAAAAAATGGTCATTTCTAACAAAAAAGATCTTTATGGTTATTTTGCGTTTAGTTAAGGTGCCGAATGGCAGGTATATTCGGCAAAACTAAACTCAAAATAATTAACACCATAGATAATCTTTTTTTGTAATTCCCGCAATTTACGAATACAGTGTGCTGTGTGATGGTTTTTCTTTAAGCTCTCTACATAACTCTTTATTAGTAAATATTTAATTATTTTGCCTAGGTCGGCAAAGATTTGCACGCCCCATAAATGACAAACTTTGTGGGTTCCTTTTTGAAAGTAATGCCGTTCCAAGCATGTTGGAAAAAACATTACTATGTATGAGAGGATAACTGTAACTCTTTAGTCACACGCCTGATATACTGTTATATTCGACAAGAGGAGCGCTGACATTCCACGAATAATATTGCAGGATAACGTTGTTTATTTCACGTCATTCAACTTCTATTTATTTCAATTCATCATAACTTGTACTTATAGAAAGTTGTCGCCCTCAAATTGCGAGAAAAATATCATTTTGACTTCTCAAGCTCTTAGAGTCGTATTCCAGAACTCTACTCAATGCTCAAGTCAGGACTTGAGTATTGCAGTGAGCACTGAAAATCATATTCAAGTCCCTGCCATTAGGGTCGTATTTCCAGTGCTTCAAATCATACTCAAGTCTGCTCAAGTCCTGACTTGAGCATTGAGTAGAGTTCTGGAATACGACCCTTAAAGTTCGTATTTATGCTGGGTGTAGGCTGCATAAAGTACGATTTTATGCTCTAGTGCATAAAATAAAAAACCATCACATTAAAAATATGTCTAATTGTTGTAATTTTACAATTTTACATTCAATTTTAATTAAATAATCGTTTATTTGTAATATTGCTGTTTAATTTCTTCGCAATCGAAGTGAAAAACAGAGTCGTTCATAAAACCCATTTTACCCTCGATATATCCATCGAGACGAGTATATCCATCCTCGCCTGCGCCTCGGATGGATATACTCGTCTCGGGTAAAGTGACGCGTTTTATGCACTTGTTGTACAATCTACTGTTATTCCATACTACATGTCCATACCTATTGAACAACAAAAAAAAATTGTTTATATGCAAAGGATTCGCCTGTAATTCTTACCACCAATAGTGCTCATTCTTTAGACAGTTCTATTAAGAGTCTGTACAACCTGAATCAATCTCTTTGGAAAAAATATGTAGTAAATTTGGGGATATACACTGATTACTATACGGTGTGAAAACACGAGTCCTAAAAATTTTCGATATTCGAAAACAGAAACCGCAGTATGCAGTAGGCACTTTACACTACCAATGATTTTTTAAATATCATCTGAACTAAATACAACACGTAATAGTATACGATATACATTTTTCAAAAGGCTTTAATTAAATTCTAAAATAAAGCCAGTGCCGCTCGACCCAGGCAAAACAAATCGTATTAGTACGGGAAAAATTTAATTCTCTGACTCTTAGGCAATATTTCCTATCCGGCAATATTTTCAATGTATGTACAACACACGTAGGAATAGCTAGCTTTTATTTTAATAAAACCCAAATCCTGTGTTGTTATTAATTATGTTTATTACAACAATAAAAGCTTACATCATAAAAACTAACATAAGGTTAGAAACATTGTTTTAACTAAGTCGTCTTTTCTTTGCCGAATCGTTCAATTTCAATTGAATATTTTTCAAGTTAACCTTTTCCAGTGGCCGTATCTTACGCAGTTCGCTTGTTAATTGTGTCATTGATTTTAGATTTGATTTGTTTGGATTATTTCTGAACAACTTGTTCAGTCTACGGAACTCATCGTTCATCGATTTAAGGGCATTTTCATAATTTCTTTTTAACTCTAGCGGTTGTCGCGTGGATGTGCTGGGTTCATCATTTGACCCTTCTTCATTTACGATGTCCGATATGTCGTCAAATTCTTCTTCCAATGGGTCGTCTTTATCATGCTCTGTTTTAATTTCAAGATGATAATAATTACCTTGTGCATCAGATTCTGGATAAGACGGTTCCGATTCGGGCTCATTCTCTGTTAGTTCTGTGGAGATTTCTTTATCCTGGTTTCCCTCTGTCAATAAATTTTCAATGTCCTCTCTAATTTCTATGCTTTGCATTTCTTCTGAAATTTCAGGCTTAATTTCGTCCATGCCAGTGTCGTCCCCAGCAATATAAGTGAACAGGCTTATTTCCTCTTCGGTCAGTTCTGGAACTTTCATCTGTTCACATTCAATAATGTTGACTATTGCTGCTAGGTGTTCACAGAAATGTCCTTTTTTTCCGTCAACGCAATCGCAGCACATAGTATCTGTTCTGAAATGAAGATACTTCTTTGTAGCTTGTTGCACTTCGACCCGGAATTCATGTGAACTGATGCGACGAACGTCTGACCCAAAGCCCAACACAATCTTAGCTTTGTCTAAGAATTTGGTCATTGTCGCTGCGCTTTTGCCTCTTTTAACGATACTGAGCAACAGCCTGCGAAAATGTCTTTCCATTATGTTAGTAACGACATCCATCATGAGACACATGTTGAAACCTTTACATTTCTTTAATATAAACTCTCTCGTGAGTCGCACTATCATTTCAGTCAGGTCGTTGGTTAGATGTTTGTCTTCTTGTAAATACAGCCATTGGTCACGTTTCGCCCATAACTGTTCGACGTACTCTGCGAGCTTCCGTTTTGACGTGACATATTTGTGGCTTCGAAGATCGTTGTACATTTTTGTGGCATCATCTAGAGTGTCAGCATAAATCATGGATTTGATAAGAGCCATAACAATGGGACGTTTCTTGCGTTCCAGTTTGTTGTCGTCATCATTCAGCCAACGCCAAATTTCGCTGCACAACCAAGTGCGGGACGTAAATATTTTACTATCTGCAAAAAATCCGGGTAATGTGTACTGCCTTTGCTCTTTTAGGTCGGAGAAAACCATTTTTTTTGTGTACACATCTTTCCCACATGCATCGTCCATAGCAACTTTGATCATTGAAAATGATCCTAAGAAATCTTTAACCCTGTTTTGCATGAAACAAGCGGCGGGAAGTGGCCCTACGATGCTCGGTACATATAAGAAAAAAATAATATCACCATTCGGGATATTGGTGTAGTCGAGCCAAAGATAATCCAAGTCACATTTTGCTAGTACTCTCTTCATCATAGGGGTTACAATTGTCACCAAATTCCAGTAGGCGCCATTACCATAACCGTCTTCTATGTAATCGATGTCAATGCCGGCAAAGGCTTTTAACATAACCTTTTTGCCAGGAATCAATTCAGCGAAGATGTACTCGTGTCCGCCAAATTCTTTCTTTTTCTTTGAGTAAATATGCGTGACGTGACGTAAGGTCGGATTGATTGTCGCGTTTGAAAGCACGTCAGAACATTCTTCGCCATATTTATCTATGAGAACTAACTCGTGGTATTTTTTGGCTGCTAACGCTGAGCATCCATTATCCAAGTACTCTAGGAAAGCTTCGTCAGTTTCAGATGTACTTTTCAGCAGCATGAATGCCTCGGGAGCGTGTACTTTGTGCGAGTGTGTGAAATCTATTGATATCGTCAGATTCAAACCTTCTTTAAGATGGGGATCGTTCTTAATCGTATTCCTGTTTATAAACTTCATTCGGAACTCTATTTTCGCCTTGCACTCTTGATTGCGAGTGGCGAAGTCTGGCTTTATTGACTTGTTGAAACTAGATCTATGACAAACGTATATTTTGCGGTACAGTAACCGTTTTAACTTGCGGAAGCATTGTCTCACTATCCACGTGGTAGCAGTGAACTTTGAAAACTTGGTAATCCAATCGCTGGCGAACTGGCCGTAGAACTCCGGTGTCTGGTTTTCCACCACTTCGCATTTTATCAGTACCGTGAATCGTTCCGCCGATTCGAATTCAAACGTTGGGAACTTCGCTCCCGACGATATTTCCTCTAAAAATGATTTTAAAATATTTTTCGTAATCATGGCCATTTTTATCCGCACTTTGCAAAATCGACAAATTCTTGTTCAATAGTAATGTCGCACTCGCTATTTCGTAGTAATTCACTCGTGGCTTTGAAACAAAACTACATTTGAAGATTCATAATACTACTCCAAAAGCAGCATGAACTGCGCCACAATGAAATCTAAACCTGTTTTATTAATCAATGTATCGTGAATCGAGGTTGATTTTGAGACGCGCATGTGTAGAAATGCGCTGAAACCGAGTACTGTTCGCGACGCGTGTTGTTATCAACCGGTTACAAAACGTAATGGCCGCCGGGTGACGGGGCCGCGGTGGGTGGTCGGACGCTCTCGGCCTTACGCCGAGTAGGGTTTCTAACATGGCGCCTGAGCGCGCGACGGCGGGAAATTTGAATTGTACCATTTATCATGACGTATTGTGTTGATGTAACTATTCTTTTTCATACTTCTTTCAAGTGCTATTTTGGGATGTTATATTATTTTTATAAATAATATAGTTGAATCTATCAGCGCAAAACCTACCTATATTTAAATATATATTTATATATATCTTTTTTATACATAAAAAAATAGCATCCAAATATCAAATGGTTATGTATTTAAATATCATTAAAAGGAATATTATCGAAAAGATATTAAATGTGGGTTGCACCACTTTTTGCGCTGATATCAGTTTATGTTCATTTAAAATTTTTTCAATGGAGAAGACTACCATTCACCAACTGCCTCCGAGGTTCGACTCCCGGGCCGGGAGAGATATTTGTATGTCCTACATTTATTTCTCTTTGTTTTTTTCTGTTAATTTGCATTGTCCAAACAATATTTTTATATTTAAATATGCCACGTATTATTATTGTTCAAAGATTTGGCTAATAACGTTTTTTTTTAACGCAGAGGCGTATTCCAAACACTAGTGGAGAAGCATTTTCCGGCTCCTGACCGAAATCGTATCAACCGCTTACTCGGTCTCGAGGCGCCTAAGGCCAAACCCGCGGCACCACTGGTGCCCCTCGTGCCCCTCAACGGCATACATTCCAACGAGGACCCGAATACATCCAAGAGGAAACGTAAGTAGAACATTAAGTAAACTTATCGAGTTCTTAGGTTTTCGCGATTGTAACACATGGGAAATGAAACTATTTTTCCGGATTCAATCGCCTATATTTGTTTTTTCAAACAAATTAACGTTTCGGGGCCTTTACAGGACCCATGATCACGGTAGACTGAGGTGGTACAGTCATCAACCGGTTATGTCTAATATTAATCCAAACCACTATAGTTTCACTATAGTTACAAAAGTTATTAATTAAATACCTTATTTTTAAATTTTCCAAAGAACGTTCCAATTTACGCTACATAATTCATGGTTTTACAAATTAAATTAAAATAAATTTATTATTCATTAATAACGGAATTCAGAATAAATTATAACATATTAATTAATTCTTCAGTTTATGTCTGCTTGAGATTTTTCATCAGAGGAAATACTTGATCTCAAACTGGTGGTACGGAGAAACCATCTTCCCTCTATGTTTTTTAATTTCAATGGCCTTCGCAGCATCCTGAGTAGATAATGGACTTCTTTTACAATAACCTGGGGCTTGTCAAACTTGATTGAATGTAAACTTACTACTTAATAAATAAATTTAGTGAGTAAAGGCTGCAAAACAAAATAATTAGCTAAAATAAGCAAGGGCAATTAACTATAATATTATATTATAGTATTGACCGCTGACATGGAAATCAGTCAACATCCGTGATTGTTAGAAAATGACCAGAAACAATTTTAAATATTTAAAAAAATAAAATGAAGGTTGTTAATTACTCAGTAATCGGAATGGTAGCGTTTATTTACCCAAACTTCGATAAATAGAGACTGTAGTTCTATAACTGGCGCTCTTCTGCTACTATTAGCAGAAGAGCTCCTTGTGAAAGAGTCCGTCCACGCAAGTACTGCCACCTTACCTGTTTCTGCCGCCAAGCAGTAATGTCAGCATTACTGCGTTCCAGGTTTGAAGGATAAGGGTGCTGGTGAAATTACAGGCACATGAGACTTCAACTTATGTCTCATGGTGATGGGCGCAGAGGCAGTGCACCTCAGATCTTTGCGATTTAAAGCTCTGAGTGGCACTGCAACTGTTCAACAGTTATGGACAGGCGTGTCGTTTACCATCAGGCGCACGACTTGTTATATTATAATAAAATAAAATGACAAAGTGGAGACTGCCTTACGACTACATTTTTTTATCCCAGATCTTTTGTTTTCGGGATTCGGGAAATCACTTGCGTACATTAAAAATTAACGTTACTTTGGACAGGTAGGTAGAGTATATACATCATTCATCATGTACTGCGACATAACAGGTACCATCTATTACACACCATAATGATGGCCAAAGTATCTGGGAAGCGGAAGGCTGGAAGACGGAAAATATCATGGTTTCGTAACATCAGGGAGCGGAACAATTTCTAGATTTGGACAAAGATTTAGAAAACTGACTGCCGACCTTCAGTAATGGAGAGGCACTAGTGGGAACTAGAGCCCTGTCACGTACAAGGGGTATCTAGCTAAATAAAACTAGCGAACTGCATTACACTTATTGTATTAGAATAAAATAGGTACCCGCGCGCACAAATCGTGCCGTAGTCGTTCTGAATCGCAGAGCCAGTCGCATCATTCGCGTGACCCCCCAGTACCCCGCGCGCTCGTTGCAGGCCCGGAGGTGGATTTATTTAGTCCGCATTTGATCGATGGTGCAACCAGACATTTGGTGAAGTGAAGTAATTTCACAAAAAATAAATTCATATCCTGGTTTAGAAACACCATGCTATTCAATAAGATCAATATTGTCGACATGCACAATCAGTGAAAGGATGTGCATCCGCGGTGTAGCACTCCTCAATATTGTCAACCTTTTTATTACTAGAGTAAAGGGGGAGAGCGAAGGTTATACGAGACAGTCGTCTGATTACAGTGACAGCGAGACAGCAGGCGAACGTGGCGGCGAAGCGCGCGCGCGGCGGCTCGTCCTCGGACGAATTCGTGCGCGGCTCCGAGGACGAACTGGAACTCGACTCGGACGAGGAACGGCGCCACGCCTCCGACTCCGAACTTAGCGATTTCAACCCCTTCCACGGCGGCAGCGACAGCGATGATGGTGAGCCCGTTTTCGTTGGAATATTTGTCAGTGCTTGAAATATTCTAACCATTCAATTTTGAAATTATCTTATCTGGCGATCTGGGAATTGCGACTATTGTGTAGAATTTAGGAAACCATTATTTAATTACCTGACAGTGACATTCAACAATTTTAGAGATTTCTTTGACAGACAGGCTTTTACGTACATTGTGTATTAAGGACGCTAAATAAGAAATTACTAACGAGGGACTATTAGAAGCCCGAATAATATAACGTTTTAATTTTGAACATAGCAAGCTTGCTTGAACTTGGACCTGACCTATGTAAGGAAGTATGTAATGCTACAAATAAAAAACCCTCCTTACCGACCATGGCTGGGAAGAATTATTTCTTCGGACTTATTAGCCCGAGTGTTTTATTTGAGGCATTATAGTCAAGTTAGCCACCATAAGTATTCCTGCTTGTTAGACTTAATTACTTTAATAAATGTATAATGGCCAGATCCGTGGGTGGGGCGACAGAAGAAAATGAAACCAGCGAAAAAGAAGAAGGCGGTCGCAAAGAAGAAGCCGTCGACGACGCAGGACAAGATCGAGACGATGTTCGAGCGCAAGAGCAGCGCGCCCACGCCGCAGACGGTGACGGTGACCGCGCCCGGCGGACACAGTCTCACCGGCACGCCTGTCGGCACCAACGGGCTCTACCTCGGTCAGTGGCCTTGAACCACACCCCACCGCCATCGGCCTCCTCGTCTTCAGGAGTTGACGATTGCAGTACACTTGCAATCTAATATAAAGCCCTGCTGCGCCTTCTATGCTTCGCCCCTTAGTAGCTTTGTACTGCACCCACTGTGATGTACGGGGTATCATACTCCGCATCGGTAATTATTCTGACTCATGATCACAGAGCAAAATGGAAGAACAAAATGGTAAAAAACTAAACTCGATGTAATTTTGTAGGTCCAGCCCGTGCCGCGCCACCGCCGCGGTCTGCGATCGAACGTGCGTGCAGCATGAAGGAGGAGCTGCTGCTGGCCATCGAGCGGCTCGGCAAGCGCCTGCCGCCGAACACGCTCGACCAGCTCGTCGACGAACTCGGCGGCACCGAGAACGTCGCCGAGGTAGCTACTATTCCACTACCGAACGTTTGCCTTGCGAAACTGTTTAAGAGCCTATACTATCTCAAATGGCTTTGGTTAAT